GCTGGCAAGGCAGGCCGGGGACACAGAGGTCCCACTGGGGACCCGAGGCCCCCAACCAAGGACCCAAGGGGCAGGAGAGCCTCCCAGCCGCGTGGGTGAGTGGGGGCTGCAGCCCCCTTGGCTCAAACCAGTGAGACTTTCCATTTCATTTGCTGGTTCAGCACAGCCTAGCCTGCCTGAGACAAAGGGAATTTTAAAATAACAAGGCTTTTTAAAGTGGAGAGATGGGGGTGGCATTTGTTTTCTTAATTACTGTCAGCATAAAATAAAATCCTAATAAATGTAGGGTATTGGACAGTTGCCCGAATGCAAAGACCAGCTTGCGCTTTCACGTGTGCCACGCCCCGGGACCACATTGGGGAAGCCCATGGAACACCAGCTCTGGGGCAGGTGTGCCAGCTGCCCACCCAAACCCAAGCAGGTGCCCGCCCCCCACTCTGCTGACCCTTCTGGCCAAAGGGATGAATCCAGGACAGGAGCCTCGGAGAGGACTTTAGACTCCAGAGGGTTGAGTAAGTGATGGAGAAGATGTTGCAGAGAAAACTCCAGCCTCCATCTCTGGAGCTGCTCCTGCAGAGCCTGGCGCCAGCATCAGCCCAGCAGCTGCCACACCCCTGCCTGGGGCCTCAGGAGCCCCGCCACAGCCCTCCCCATCCCCCAAGACCCCAGCGACCCCAGGAGCCCCCATCCTGCTCCATCCGTGTGCAGTGGGAAGGCGCACAGGTTGGTACACTCTGCAGTAAATTTAGACTCAGAACTGTTCTGCATCCTTATTTCTCTGAGTAATCTGCTCTGCCAAGTTTCCCCCTTTATAGTCAGGGACCAACCAATTACCATGAAAATCAGATGAATAAATATTGAAGAGAATGTGTTCATCGTCTATTTTGGTGTCCTAACAGCAAGGAAGCGACATTACATTTGTGATTAAGTCTTTCTCGGCTGAAGCTCCCCTTCACTGGATCAATTAAACAAGATCCGTGGACCCAGCAGAAAGCCTCCCCAAAGGACTGTTATTAGTAGGTGTGACTTACAGATTTTCTCAGCGGCCCCACAAATTTCTCCTCTGAAATTAAAGCCGCGTCGACAACACAGCCTGGGGTTGCGGTATAAACACCTGGTGCAAGCACACAAGCACCACCTGGCTCCCCCCCCCCCCCAATCCTCTGCACTATCCTGCCTCCCGTGTGTCAGTGGATATTAATAGTCACACTTGTCTTTCCTTAATCATCCTTTGGTCCATAAAGACGGAGTAAATAAACTATTAGCTGTCTTCACTCTATGAGATGGTATAACTTAGGTAAATTGTGAATTTCTCATGTTAAAAAAAATATGTAAAGGCACCTGGATGGCTCAGTCAGTGAAGCATCTGCCTTCAGCTCAGGTCATGATTCTGGGGTCCTGGGATCAAGCTCCATGTCAGGCTCCCTGCTCAGCTGGCAGGGAGTCTGCTTCTCCTTCTGCCCCTCCCCCTGCTAGTGCTTTCTCTCTTTCTCAAATAAAATCTTTAAAAAAAAATACCTGAAAGTTTCAACTAAAATCTTTATATTCTCACAGAATTGCTTGGGTATCTTCTTTCAGAGAACAGAGATGAATTAGTAGCAGCCCTTGCCCATGGAAACCGCTCTGCACAGGTTCTGTTCAGGAAAGCTTATCTGTGATGACACACCTGCCAGTAGCACCTGCTTAGCACCACATGACCTTTGGGCGCTCAGCTCCGAGAAAGCCCGACGTCCACCTGTGCCTTCACCTGCTACGTGCGTGTTGAACACCCACCACATGCCTGGCACTGTTCTAGGTGCGGGCGTGACACAATGATAGTCTAGTGGGGGAACCAACTGATAAGCAGGTTAACAAATAAATGACTGCTTGTTTGTGATAAGGGCTTTCAGGTCAAGATAAATAACGGTGCAAGAATAGGGGCTCTCTGGAGGATCCTATGTGAGATACCACGGGACGTAATCCTTCTCTGTAAGACATGAACATAACCCTATACTGTTGACACCCCAACCAGATCAGTAACACAAGCAAAAGGCAGCAAAGACGATGACACTCGACCTCACTTAGGACCAAGAAGGGCTAATGCCAGGATGGAGCATCTGAAAGACCTGCCTGTGCAAATCCCCACGTCCACAGACCTGGGGTAAGACCACGTTATTATTACATTATTTCAGATGATGCCAAAGAAGCATTTGACAAATGTCCATGACAGGAGTAATTTGGTGATTAATACGTACAAATTCCACACCAGCACACATCGTGTCTTGTAACTGGTTCACGGACGTCGCCCTGGTGTCAGAACCAGTGCCTGGATTTGGTAGCTATGATGTGTACAGTTGTTGAGTGAGTGAATGAGTGAGGGAGTGACATCCTTTGGGCTGATGAAGACAATCTACCAAAAGCTTATATCATCCTTCATGGAACAAAGCCTCCAACAAGCCCCTCCCAGGCCAGGAACATGACCAAGGCGCCCTCTCCAGGTCAATGCCCAGGGGCACCTGGTGAGCATGGTTGGGGAGAGACCATCCTGCAGGCTGGGGCCCTGGAAGGCAGGGCACACAGCTATTGGTGTTCGCCACAGCCTGGCCGCTGTTCCAGAAAAACTGCTGCAGTCAGCGAGATTTCTGGGCACAAGATCACACCATATTCCTCTCCCGGAAGGATTCACTCTTGAGAAAACGTAGCCGAAATGACAACACACCACTTACAACAAAAATTAAAACCAGACTCTCTAGGAAGTAACCAAACAAAAGAAGCACAACTTTCTGGAGAAAATGTTTAAATACTAACAAGGGACATCTTAACACTAAATAAGTAGAAACTTGGGCCATGTTCATGGATGTGATGATTTGATGCTGAAGAACAGTCAGCGCTCCCTGAAATTCAGCTGTAAGTGCAATGCCAGTCCCACCAAAATCATGCATTTTCGGAGCCTGGATAAACTGACTCTAAAACCAGAATGAAGAGGAATAAAGGCCTGAGAAAAGCTGAGATAGAGAATGCAAAAAGGAGTTTCAAGAAGGACTCACACCACCAGATGTTAAGACTATGTCAAAGCCATAATGACTGAACAGTCGGTAATCATACCAGGATGGAACAGTCGCCTGAACAGAACAGGGGGGACGCTCGAGACACCGCGGGACATCAGAGGGCCAAGTGAGCCGTACAAGCCAACACTGGCTCACTGCCTACAGATTTAAAGGATGCTGGCTCCCTGTCTTATGTGATCGCCACATAAGGACCTCTAGTCAGAATCAAAATGTAAATGTGAAAAATAAAGCTCTCAAAGCCAAGCTGAGAAAATATAGAAATATAGAAGAGATCCTCTAAGAGATCCTCTAAGACTCAAGACCGTAAACTTTGCAAACGGTAAACTTGTGTTTGGTGGAGAACATCATGCACCAAGCAACAAGCTACTTGAAAATCACGGGCTACAGGAGAGTTCATACGGAAATTTTACAGCTGTGAAACTCAGCACTCGAGCCCAGAGTGAGGATCAGCAGAAAAAAGTGGGGGAAAAGCAGGAATATGATGTTCACAGGAGGAACCCGTGGGTGCCGGGAAAGGATGGCACAGTGTGAGCCCCGAGACATGCTTTCCTTCTCACCTGCACCCTCCACCCAAGATTTGCCACGTTGGGAGGACGACAGTGAGGAGGAGGAGGAGGAGGAAGGAGCCCTGGCGCCCAGCTGCCTCGCCTCCAGTAGTCCAGCCATTCTGGAAGCAGATGCAAGCCCCTGGTGACACTAGATGTAGGTGTCTCCTGTGACCAAGAACCCCAGGCCTGGGATGAGCCCCAGAGAGATCATCGTGGGGAAACATGCAGGAGGCTATGTAGCGCCTTCACCTCTTCATCAGAGACTTCCATGGGGGTCATGTGGCCGCAGACGGACATGCGGCAGCCCCCAACCCAAGTGATGCTTCTGGGTACAGAAGACACCACAGACAGATCTCAGAAATATGTGCAGAGGGAAAAATGAAAGAAACAAAATGGGATTTGAGGGGCAGTATCATGTTTGCAAATTTCTAAAAGTCACAAACACACAGTATGTATTTTCCCCCACGTACATATGTGGGAATAATCCACATGACCGAAGAAGGTGGGTTAGAAGGATCTACATGACGTTCCCAGGGAGTGTTGGTCCAGGTGGAGGGGAGAGGAGGCACAGAGCCCAGGTGCAGACACCTGAAACAATAAATCATGTCAGGTACCCCCCTCGTCCCCCACTCCTGCCCCAACCACCAAGTCCAACCGAAGACGGAGGCTTCATCCCTACGCATCAATCAGGACAGGCAACACTCTTAGCTACTATTCGATAACTCTAACTGGGTCTTTGTTTTCACTGGATAAGGTTTTAAACAACAATCTTGGAATTTATTTAACGGTTCGGTTAATATCATTATATTTATTGAACTTAGCAATTCTTGGACTTCAATCTTGGTGCCAAGATCGAGCCGAATCTATTTATTGACTGGAAGGTGGGAAATCAGGCAAACCCACAGAGCTCTTCAGACCTGACCGCGCTGCCAGAAAAAGCCAAACCCACTGTCACAAAGTGTGATTGTCCAGAGCCAGAAAGCAAGAGGCTAATTAACGGGGGCTTCATGTCCTGCTTCATCACAGCTTACACTCTAGGAGCATAAACTCCATGACTCAACTTTTAGAGATGCTTGAGGTACATACTGAAAGCCCGGGAGCCCTGCCCTTGTGTGTCCACTGTGAATCTATGGGCCTGGAAAACTTTCTCAGTGCTGGTATTTATTTATTGTAAAGGACATCGGCATCAAAGCTTTCACCCCAGGGCCCTTGTGATTTTGCAGCACGAGCCTGGTGCTGGCCTGATGGCACGGGCCCTCTGTGCCAGGGCTCCTGGGTCCCGGATGAGTGGCCACCAGGACCTCAGCAGGCACGTGTGAGTAGTGGAGGGAAAGCGTGGTCACCCAGCACACAGACCAGGGGGGACCATTCCGAGGAGGCGGGTCCCGTCCTGCCCCGTGCTCACCGTGCCTTCCGGGTCCACCAGCAGCAGGTGCTTGGCCTGGCCGTTGTGCATGCCTGTGAGGACGAAGGAGCCCGGGTTGGTGGCGCTCTTCCTGACCAGGAAGTCCCCATCATTCTTCAGCAGCCCCTCGGCCTCCTTCCGGCTCATCTCCCCTTGGTACCAGGGCTCCCCTTCCAGCTCTTCCAGCATTTTGGCATCTGGGGCTCTGGGAGTGACGGGGCTGATGCACTCCACGGAGGCTGCTTTGCTCAGCACAGGCCCCAAGGACTGGTTCCTGAGAGCGTCTTCAAAAGGTTCTGTCAACAACAATCGCCAAAAACAAGTGAACCCCCAAGAAGAGCAAATGACAAAATGCACAATGGGATTGATAGAAATGCCAAGGCAACTTCCACCAGAGACAAACCTACAGAAAAACGACTGGCTGGTAATACTAACTGCAGCCCAAACCTTGGCATGACTTTCTGACGAGTCTGCTTTCCCAAGACAGCTGGGTGCTGTGCGTCGTGCCAAGGATTTGAGCACACCCTTTGTCTAGCCAGTAAGAATGACCTCACTTTGGCATGCTGTGCGAGGCCGGGCATATTACACACCATCTACTTTTTCTGGAACATCAACTAGCCTTTTAATAAATCTGTTTTCTTCTGAATGAAAATTTGCCAATGCCAACAGAAATACACAAAGAAAAAAGATAATCTACAAAGTTAGATTTAGTGCAAAACCTATACCCAACCCAGCAGATGTTTGTTTCAAAACTCTTGCATCAGGCAAATTTTTAAAGGAGAAGAAAACTGACATTTATGGGGTGCCCTCTGTGTGACTTGCCCTGGATTAGGAGCACTACCTCCCCTTGCCTTCTCTTGTGTCTCTGTGGAAAAAGGCTCCCGTGTGACTCTCTGTACTGGAGCATGACAGCACAGCCTTCAGGACACACTTCCCAGTGCGGGTGCAGCCCACAGCAAGTCTGCTGCTCTAACAGCAAAAGTCTGCAGCAGCACAGTAAGTCCCTGGGGACATTTGATTAAACCTCAGCTGTCCATTTTCAAATGAGGCAACATGTACAAAGGCACTCGAAAAGCACACGGTGCCACACAGCGTAAGGTGTGATGATGACTACATGGGACCCTGCTGCCAAAGCAGCACAATGCAAGCACCACGAGAACAGGAACAGTTCTCTCCTGGGCACAGCTATGTCCCCAGAGTCCAACACTGTTCCTGGGACACGTCCATCCCTACAAATATTCAACAAATGCTATAGAATCAGACCAATTATTAGAGGATGGGCAGGAGTGAGGTGAAAAAGTGAAACCCAAATCAGGGGATTTTGGTATTTGTTCAATTGTTCACAGATCTGGGAATAAAAGCAGGTTAAAATTATTGCCTAAAATGAGATTTTTTTTGTCCTATTTTTTCCTGATTACCTGGAGTAATTAAAAAGTTGTATACCATTTCTACACCATCACCAGCACCATCACTATCAAGACCATTACTACTGTCACCATCATCACCCTCATCGTCACCATCACCACCATCATTGACCACCAAGACCACCATCACCATCACCTCTCTGCCATCATCAGCATCACCACCACCATTACCACCATCATCACCATCACCACCATAATCATCACATCACCATCATCACCACCATCATCCTCATCATCACTATCATCACCACCACCACCATCGTCATCATGACCATCATGACCATCACCTCCATAATCATCATCACCATCACCCTCATCATTATCATCACCCCCATCATCACTACCACCATTACCACCATCACCACCATCACCATCATCACCATCACTACCATGATCATCATCACATCACCATCACCATCATCCTCATCAACCCTATCATCACCCTCATCATCCCTACCACCATCACCACCATCATCACTCTCATGGTCCAAAATAAACAGCATAGAGTGGCTTAATTTTTTTGCCAGACTTTTCAAAAGAAACTAGCCTCTCCAGGGCCCTCTCTTCCTCTCGTCTCCCTTCTCTGATTTGGGAGCAGGTATAGAACTTGATGGATGACAAAGAGTGGTTCTGCTTCTCATTTTTCCCATCTGAAACCCTCATCTTACTTACCTTTCCTCAGGCTCTGGGGCCAGGAGCCACTGGTAAATTGACTAAATCAAACAGTGAAAACTGACCATAAATACAAGTACTAAGCTGCAGTTGGGAGCCACTACTCTGTCTGAGTCTTGGAAAAGTTGCTTCATACTTCTGAGGCTGTACCCACATTTTTTCAGAAGCCAAATTTGATGAGATGACCGTTAAGGTGCCTCCAAGTCCTGAGAGTCCCCAGTTATTCTGATTTTTGCAAGTCTGAATGGAAGTCTACTGTCTGGGAAACCCAAGTGGCAGAGGAGGAAGGCTTTGGTAGTCAGAAGGCCACCCGATCAAAGCGGCACTCAAATCCATCTTTCACACACAACACCAGGGAGAGCGCATGTCATGCCAACAAAGCTGCCGTGACCAGGGCCAAAGTGATGCAGCATCTAGGACCTGCGTGTTCTCCTCTGTAACACAGTGACAAAAATAGTAGCTACCTGCAGGACTGCTACAAAAATTAAAAGAAATAATGAATGCCTGGCACATGATAAAACCTTGTTAAATCCGGGGATCCCTGGGTGGCTCAGCAGTTTAACTTCTGCCTTCGGCCCAGGGTGTGATCCTGGAGTCCCAGGATCAAGTCCCACATCAGGCTCCCTGCATGGAGCTGGCTTCTCCCTCTGTCTGTGTCTCTCTCTGCCTCTCTCTCTCTCTCTCTCTCTCTGTGTGTGTGTCTCTCATGAATAAATAAATAAAATCTTAAAAAAAAAAAACAAGAACCTTGTTAAATCCTAAGGAATTTCTTCAGCCTGTAAAATGCTCGAGGAACTGATGTGAAATATGGGGATGTACAGCTCAGGAAGCACTTTCAATATCCCATAGCAACAATTCCCACTCTCATCAGCCAGTTCCTGGATGGTTTACTTGTCCCAGCCTACACAACCCTCAGCAGGTACATGGCACACCTCATGATGCTGCTGAGGGGCTTCCCAGCACACCTCTTACCCTGTTTGGTTTTTCGCCAGGGCACCTGTTGCCAACTGCTAACATACACTGGTTATTTGAGTTCCAGGAGACTATCTTGCTTTCCTGCAGACCCCAGTAAGCAGAATAGTATCTGACCCACACTAGGTACTCCAGGGACAGGAATATGTGAGAGCGAGCACGTGTGTGCCCGCTGGAGGGTGTATCGCCCTTTCTTGCTCATGTGTTGTCTTGCTCAACAGACTTGAGGGCTCTGTGAAGCATGCCTTTCACCGTGGCAGCCTTAGCAACTGATCCAGTATTGGGCACCTATCAGCCCACTAAGATTTAAGTGAATACACAAACCAGTGTTGTTTTGTGTGTATTATCATTTGTCCTGACACATGCGCAGATCTCCAGGAGGACAGTCATTCCAGAGAGAGGAGAAATGGCTCTGCTTCTAGGCCTGAGAGGGGGTGCCATCCCAAAGCAGAGGGAAGCCAAGCTCAGAGCCTTGGAAAGCCCAATCACAACCCAGAAAAGTGCACAAAGGCATCCCTGTTCACCAAAACCCCGTTAGCAGAAAGCGTGCTAACTGCACAGATGTCAAGCCGAAAGCAGTGCAGAGAGCTCAGAGGAATGGCAACCCACTCATGTCGAAGAGGTCCTTCAGCGGGCTGCTCTCGGCGCTGCTGCCCGAGGCCGGCGTGGCCTGCACGGGGATGTGCTGGGCGTTCACGTAGGTGGGGGCTTCTCCGGGGGCCGTGGGCACTCTCGCTTCCGGCGTGCTGTAGATGTCCAAGGACCCTGCAACAAGAAGACGAGCCCTCTTTCCTCTTACAATGGAAACTCTGGTCATTTGGGCACCATAGGTGAGCTGCCCCGCACCTCACAGAGACGTTCCTATGGGCCATCCATCAGGTAACGCCTCCCGCGGGTCCCCATCACCTACATGCCCCTCTTCGGACCCTGTCACCACTGCTCTGTGCTGGGTGGGACAGTCTCCCAGCCTTCATGCCCCTGGCTCTGCGCAGGAGGCCCAGGTGGGCATGTGATCCAGGACCCCTACCCCCAGGCAGTGCCTCCAGGGGACCTCTCAGCTGGGCCAAGAGCAAGCCGAGGCCAGCCCGGGGGTGAGGGCCCTGACGTTGTCACCCAAGGGGTGAGGGTATTGGGTGATCACACCTACTCAGGGCACAACGGGAGCCCTGTACCTGACACACTGACACAGATATACCCTCAAGATCACCCTTCTGCGGGGCCATCTCTGGAGAGAAGTGCCTTTCACACCCTATGCGCAGCCCAGTCCTGTGGGCGAGAGGGCTTTGTAGGCTCCCCAGAGCCCATAGTGGCGCTTTCGGCAGCAAAACATGCATGAGAACGCAGGTGTCCCGGGAAAAGGACTCTTAGTGGGGAGTGAGACCAGCAAAGTCAAGAACGGTCTCCACTCCTACTCCTGGACACCACTTCACGTGTCCTGAGTTACCTGTCCTGGCTCAGCCGTGGCCATTTGCAGCTCGTGTGTGTAGGTGCTGCAAACAAATCAGCCTGTAGGAAGGATTTTACAGACTAATTTTTTAAAAGGAGAAGATGAAAATCCCAGTGAACAGCTTTCCTGACGATGGCCCTTTCCCTCTCAGACCAGGGCAGGTGTGGAGCTAGGGCAGGGGACACAGAGGCCACCAGGGTGCCGGGAGTTAGTTTTCAGTTAGGGATGATGGCTGCCGGCAAGGTAACAAAGGACATTCTTATTCAACAGAAGAAGATATTTATTGCTTTCAAATGAGAAGCAGAAGCTTGTTGAGGCATAGGAGCCCCAAGTTTCAGGCACGTGTCTGCCCTGGCGAGTCTTTATGTTATCTGGTCTTGATCCGGCCAGGGTGGCTGGAACATACAACAAAAGACCTCATTTTTAAGTGAACCTGACATTTTTCCAAAAAAGTCAATATCTAATGTAAATAACGTGTCTGTTAGGCCTTCACAGTATTATGTGGTTAGGTACACATCTGTTATATAAATACATTTTAAGTGTTTGTAGAACAAAGATGGAAACATAGGAAAAACGTGCCCCCGGCAAAGTGATGACTCAGGTTTGCTGAGTCTGTCCTATTTTAGATGGAGCCACGCGGTGGCCCCGGCCAGGCCCAACCCTGTGACAGCCCAGCACATCCGGGTCCCCCTGCAGCTGGGCAGGCAACACCTGAGATGGTCTCACCAGGGGGAAGTTCTAAAACCGTACTGTCATTTACTCCCCGGCACAAACGGCCGTCAGGAAGGGGAAAGTCTCAACATCAAACCAAGAGATGGTTATATGTATATACATGGACACGTAAGTCGGACATTAGGTCTTAATTCACTTGTCGCTCCTTCTCCATCAGACGCTGTATAGTTAGTCACCAGGTCTCTGAGTTATTGAAAGATGTTTGAGGGAGCAACACATTTAAAATTAGAAATGCAACTGATGGAGCACCTTGGTAGCTCAGGTCGTGATCCCGGGGTCCTGGGATGGAGTCCTACATGGGGCTCCCCACAGGGAACCTGCTTCTCCCTCTGCCTGTGTCTGTGTGTGTGTGTGTGTGTCTCTCATGAGTAAATAAATAAAAATCTTTTTTTTCCTAAAGAAAAGAAATGCAACTGACTTCTGTGCATTGATTTTTGTATCCTGCCACAAATTTGCTGTATGAGTTGCTGATTTGCCATGTGAGTTCTAGCAATCTTGGGGTGGAGTCTTTGGGGTTTTCCATATACCATATATCATGTCATCTGTGAAGAGGGAGAGTTTGACTTCTTTGCTAATTTGAATGCCTTTTATTTCTTTTAATTGTTTGATTCCTGAGGCTAGGACTTCCAATACTATGTTGAATAGCAGTGGTGAGAGTGGACGTCCCTGTCGTGTTCCTGATCTTAGGGGAAAGGCTCTCAGTTTTTCCCTATTGAGAATGATATTTGCTGTGGGCTTTTCGTAGATGGCTTTTATGATGTCGAGGTATGTTCTCTCCATCCCTACACTTTGAAGAGTTTTGATCAGGAAAGGATGCTGTATTTTGTCAAGTGCTTTCTCTGCATCAATTGAGAGGATGATATGTTTCTTATCTTTTCTTTTATTAATGTGATCTATCACATTGATGCATTTGCAAACAGCCAAACTGTGGAAGGAGCCAAGATGTCCATTGACAGATGAATGGATAAAGCAGACGTGGTCTATATACACAATGGACTATCACTCAGACATCAGAAAGGATGAATATGTACCATTTACATTGATGTGGATGGAACTGAAGGGTATTATGCTGGGAAGTAAGTCAATAGAAGAAGGACAATCATCATATGGTCTCACTCATATGGGGAATATAAGAAATAGTGAAAATGATTATAATGGAAAGGAGGGAAACTGAGTGGGGAAAAATTAGAGAGGGAGACAAACCATGAGAGACTTAACTCTACAGAACAAACTGAGGATTGCTGGAGGGAAGGTGCATGGTGGGATGGGTAACTGGGTGACGGTCACTATGGAGGGCACATAATGTCATGAGTACTGGCTGTTACACGTTGGCAAACTGAATTTTAAAATCAATCAATCAATCAATAAGACATTTAAAAATTGAATTAAAGTAAAAGAAACCTTTAGGAATTCCTAGGTGGCTCAGTGGTTGAGCATCTGCCTTTGGTGTGATCCCAGGTCCTGGGATCAAGTCCCTCACTGGGCTCCCCACAGGAAGCCTGCTTCTCCCTCTGCCTGTGTCTCTGCCTCTCTCTGTGTGTCTCTCATGAATAAATAAATAAATAAAATCTTTAAAAAATAAATAAAAAAAATTAAAAGAAACTTTTAAAGCACACACACCCCCGTGTGTATAGAAACAACTATCTGGGGAAGAAGACTTGGGTTAGCAGCTAGCTCCTAGCCCCGTGGGAACTGTTTCCAGGGTGGGCTGTGGGTCCATGCTGGCCTCCCTGACAAGATGGACACGTGTCCTCTGAGAGCACCCAGAGCCCAGGGGGGTGGGGCCTCACAACCCCGGGGCCATCTCCAGAGCAGGTGGGCTCCATCCCTCCTGAGGGTGACCCTGGATGGGGGTGGGACCAGGAAGGGAAAGCTACTGCCTGTTAGGAGCCCCGGGGCTCAGCCCCATTGCAGAGGTAGGGACAATCGAAAACACACTTCAGGGGCCCCCAACCAGCGCCTGTCTGAAGTAGGTGCAGTGCCTGTGGGGAGGTCAGCCCCTTGGCCCCCTGGCAGGCAGTCTCTCCTGCAGGAAGGATGTCCCCAGGGTGCATGCGAACAGGAAGTGCTGGGATCTAACACCTGCGTGTGGGTGAACTCCTCGCGGGGAGCACGCTGCTGCTGTGATTGATTGTCTCCCACCTCACCTTGACACTCACCTTGCCGGACAGGTGTCTGCTGCCAGTCCTCACCAAACGGGTCTCCTAAGTGTCTCCCCTGGTAGTAAGTTTGCTCTTTTCCTGCAAACTGTGGACACAGGTAAATACACAAAGAGAAGAAGCATCATCCTCCCTTTCCCCATCCCTAAAAGCCACGATGCAAGAGAAGGAACCCCTGTGGACTGCTGGTTCCTTTCCCAGTTACACCCATTTTTCCTTCATGCCTCACAGCTGGCATTAGGATTTGGGAAATAGTTTTCCATAGGTGCAAGGAATAAGATGCATCTCATCAAAACTATACATGCCCACTTTGTTTTCATTTTCTGCCACCAACCCTCCCTAAATTTGGCCAAAATTGGAGCTCTCTTAATGCAGCCTCATCACTTGCAAAGGAAATTTCAGCTGGGGTGGTTCTCTGGGTCAGAACATACCTCCCACAACCATTCACACCTGGGCAAGTCCACCCCGTCCATCCCCGTGTCAGAGCTACTGACACTTGATTTCATTATTATTTTGCCACTTTTATTAATATCACTGTCAGTCACATAAAGTAGGTCACCTCAAAAAACTCTCTATAACGAAATCCAGATACTGTAACTCTAAAAAGCAGCTGCCATACTGGCATGTTGAGTTGAAGGAAAAATCAGAAAAATGAGTAAAAAAGAAGGCTCATAAATTTCTCATTTTAAAGGCCCACATCCACTCTCTTTTCAGGGAATGCAAAGAGCCCCAGGCCTTTCAAAAGTCTTGAACTGGTTCTTCTCCTCATTAGGAGAAATTTAAATAAGATTTGTCCCAGGATGGAGAGGAGACCCCAGGACTCGTACCTCTGGAATCATAATATAGTTCCAAGACATTTGGTTAATGATGTTAAAACGAAAGCCTCCTGTACTTGTCTGTTTTGTGTCATCCAAGGGGAGAAAACAGGTGAGTTATTCTGTCAACGGACTAGACACCAGCCTGCAAATGAAGTGGAAGAAAGTGGAAGGAATTAAAGCTCAGGTGACCACGACTTACCTGGGCTGTGTCAGGGGCATGGGGTCTGGCGTGCAGCCGCACATCCACGAAGCCCCCTGGAGGAGGTGTCTTGCTTGGGATGCTGTTGTAGTATGGGTGGTCTGATCCGTCCCCCTCCTCTTCTGTCCAAGGCTCGTCCAGACTCTGCATCCTGTTAGAAGAGGATTTTTCCAGAGCTTAAGCCAATAGTTGAGGTTGTCGTCAAAACCAACAAATCTGACACTAGGACCTGCTACCCCAGAAAAGAGAGTCAGTCACTATCTCCTCACTATCTAGAGCCCAACACTGAAAAGTAGATGTATGGTTTGGCCAGATATTTCTACTTTATTAGCAGTTTCACCTTCTGGAAAGTGTCCGTTAGATCTGAAATAGAAAACAACCCCTTTTACAAAAGTACATTTAATTAAGAAAGAAAGGATTTATATCTAAAGATAATGCGCATTCATTTTAATATGTCAAGACATTACCAACTAAAAAGCAGAGATTTTAATGACATCGAAGAAAATGACAGAGTAAAAACCTCTGTAAATTCTCTCTTCCATAACACAAAGAAGAAAACTGGCAAAAAAATTTTTTTTCAGAATCAACTTTTTCAAAACCCTGGAAATTAAGCAGAAGCTTGCAGAAAGTAGTATTTGTGTGTGTCTCTGTGTATGTTTTTTAAAGCAAACAGCTATAAGAACAGTGGCTTGTGGCATTTTAGCTTGCCCTATTCCTGTCTCCATGGTAGCCTTGAAAACCAACAGCCCACAATCACAGTGTAAACCAGCAGGCTGACAGCCATAGGAAGGGACAAAACAGCACTGAGGCTCTTTCAAAGCCCCATTCCAGAGAATGATCATAATCTTTTTTTTTAAGATTCTTATTTATTTATTCATGAGAAACAGAGAGAGAGAGAGGCAGAAACATAGGCAGAGGGAGAAGCAGGCTCCCTGCAGGGAACCTGATGCGGACTCCATCCCAGGACTCCAGGATCATGACCTGAGCCAAAGGCAGACGCTCAACCACTGAGCTACCTGGGTGCCCAAGATCGATCATAATGTGATCTGACTGGTCATTCCCTAAAAGATGTCATTTCAAGGCTGTCTTTATTTGACCTGATTCAGAGCTTGCTCAGGGGAAAAAGTTCCTCCCCAGTGGCATTTGTCAAAAACAACTGGAGGCTATTGTTCAACATCATGGCTCCTTGAGGCGGTAGATAGCATTTGGTGTTCTAACAAACCAGTAGGTAACAAAGAGGAGGCTATCAAAAAGCCTAAAAGGAAAATCTGGGCAATGAGATGTCCATAGGGACCTTGATCAGCTTCAATACATTTCTGGAAGTCTAGAAGGCCCCATGTTTGTGTAGCACTGTGTTCATACTCTGGATTGTGTGCCTGCTTAGGAAAAATGTGAAAAGGTTTTAGTTCTCACCTCTGGTTGACTTTGAAACCTACATAAGCAGGAAGTAAAGGGTAAAGCAGAGTTGTCAACACCTTGGCTGAGTGTTGAAGTGCCCTAATACTACAAACAGCTCCTCAGCAAACAGGAGGAGATTTAATGGCACCAAGCATTGAAGGAAATCTCTCTCTAATTATTAGCTGACTAATATGGGAACCAATCAGAGTTATCAGTGTCATATATGCCAAAGAATACAGATTTTTACACCATTAGTTGAGAAAATCATTAAAACAAACAACCACAACAAACAGTTGCAACAACAAACCCTGAGGAGGGGAGCTTCTCAAGATTTGCCACTATAGTAGTTAAAATTTCCAGTTTCAATGAAAAACTATGAAATATGCAAAGAAATAAAGCATGGCTCATGAGCAAGAAAAAAGGCAATCAACAGAAACTTTTTCTAAGGAAACTCAGATTCGGGACTGATGAAACATTTTAAATTAGCTACTTTAGACAGGAGAATATAGGAAATCATCAACAAAAAATAAACATGAGACTGTGGTCTCACCAAATAGGGAATATCAAAATAGAGGTAGAAGTAATTTTTGATATAACCAAATACAGGCATACCTGGGTGGCTCAGTGGTTGATCCACACAGATTTTAAAATCTTTTTTAAAAAATAAAATAAAATAACCAAATGGAAAAGGCTAGAGTTTAAAAAGGTTAATAACTAGAATAAAAAATTAATGGAGGAGCTCAAAACAGGTGTAAACGACAGAAAAAAAGAATGACAGAATTTAAAGATAGCTCAATTAGGACTCTCGAATCAGTGAAATAGAAAGAATAAAGAACTAAGGAAAATGAACAGAGCCTCAGAGACTTATGGGACCCCATTAAGCAAACCAACATATACATGAGGGAGTCCCAGAGGAAGAAAGGGAAGGAAAGGGGCAGAAAGAACACAAGAAGACATCATGGCCAGAAACTTGTCAAATTTGATGAAGATTATTGATTTACACATCCAAGAAGCTAAAAAAAGAAAAACCACTCCAAATAGGGTAAATGAAAAAAGCTTCACACCTCAACATGTCATAATCAGACTGTTTAAACCCCAAAAGAAAGACAGACTCTTGAAGGCAGCAAGAGAGAAGCCACTCATCATGTGCAAGGGATCTTCACTAGTATTTAAAGCTAATTTCTCATCAGAAATAACAGGCCAGAAGACCATGGGATGGCATAGTCCATGTACAGAAAGAAGTACTGTGTACCAAGAACTCTATATCCAGTAAAACTACCTTTCCAAAATGAAGCAAAAATTAAGACATTCCCAGATGAACAAAGAAAATTCATCATCGTAGCAGATCTTCACTATAAGAGATACTAAAGGGGGTACTTCAGGCTGAAATCAAGCACTAAAGAGAAACACATATCTACACAAAGAAATGGAGAATTCTGGCAAAGTTAGCTACACAGGTAAGCATAAAAGACAAGATGCGAGAAAATACAAGTAACTGTACACCAGCTAGACAATCTAGATGAAATGAAAAAATGCCTACCAAGACTCAGACTACCAAAACTTACTCAAGAAGAAATAGAAAATCTTAATAGACCTGGAAAGAAACTGAATTAGTAACAATTAAAACAACCTACACTGCAAGAAAAGCTCAGAATCATGGCTTCCTGGTAAATTCTATCAAACATCTAAAGGAGAATTAATAGCAATTCTTCACAACTCTTCTGAAAAATACAAAAGGGAGGAATATTTCCAAACTCAACCTATGAGGCCAGTATTACCCTGATACCAAAACCAAACAAACATACTACAAGAAAAGAAAGCTGCAGACCAATAACTCTGATGAAAATGAATGAAAAAAAAAATCCTCAACAAAATACTCACAAACCAAATCCAGTGACATATAAAACGAACTATACACCATGACTAAGTGGGATTTACCCCAGCGATGCAAGGTTGGTTCAACATTTAAAGTCAACTGATGAAATGTATCATATCAACAGAGTAAAAACAAATACCAAATACCTCAATAGACACAGAAAAAAATATTTGACAAAATCCAACATCTTTGCTTGACAAAGACACTCAAGAAACCTTGAATAGAAGGACATTTTCACAATAAAGGGCATCTGTGAAAAGTCCACAGCTAACCACAAGGTTAAGGTGACAAACTGAGTGTGGTACTTTCTCCCTAAGGTCACAAACATAAGAATGTCTCCTTTTTCTATTTCTAGTCACCCTGGTACTGGATCGAGATTCTAGCCAGGGAAATTATAGAATAAGAAGAAATAAAAAGCACTGAGGTAAAACTTAGAAGAAAACATAGGGGGCAGCCCAGGTGGCGCAGCGGTTTAGAGCCGCCTTCTGCCCAGATCTGGGCATCGAGTCCCACGTTAGGCTCCCTGCATGGAGTCTGCCTCCCCCTCTGCTTCTGTTTCTGCCTCTCTCTCTCTCTCTCTCTCTCTCTCTCTCTCTCTCTCTCATGAATAAATAAATAAAATCTTAAAAAAAAGAAAACATAGGTAGAAATCTTTGTGACCTGGCATGAGGCAATGGTTTCTCATTTTTTTCCCCAATTAACTCCATTTTTTAAATTTAAATTTCTTTTTTTTAAGGGTTTTTATTCATGAGAGAGAGGCAGAGACACAGGCAGAGGGAGAAGCAGACTCTCTGCAGGAAGCCCGATGCGGGACTCAATCCCAGGACCCCAGGATCACACTCTGAGTAAAAGGCAGATGCTCAACCACTAAGCCACCCAGGAGCCCCTAAATTTAAACTTCTTATTTAAATGCAATTAATTAACATATAGTGTATTATTAGTTTTCAGGGGTAGAATTTAGTGATTCATCAGTTGCATATAATACCCAGTGCTCATCACACCACATGCCCTCCTTCATGCCCATCACCCAGTTACCCCATTTCCCCAACTACCCCCCTCAGCGACCCTCAGTTTGTTTCCTATGATGAAAGTCTCTTATGGTTTGTCTCCCTCTCTGGTTTTATCTTATATTATTTTTCCCTCCCTTCCCCTATGTTCCTCTGTTTTATTTCTTAAATTCTCCATATGAGTGAGATCATATGATATTTGTCTTTTCTCTATTTCGCTTAACATTGATGGAATAATAAGTTCCATCCATGTCATTGCAAATGTCAAGATTTCATTCTTTTTTTTTTTAAGATTTCATTCTTTTGATGGCTGAGTAATATTCCAGTGTGTGTGTATCTTCTTTATCTGTCATCTGTCAATGTATATCTAGGTTCTTTTCATATTTTGGCTATTGTGGACTATGCAATGGTTTCTTACCCATGACACCAAAAGCAAAAGTAACCAAAAAAATAATAAGCAAACTGGACTTCATAAAAATTAAAAACCATTGTACTTTAAAGGACACTATCAAGAAGGCAAAAGACAACACACGTAACGGGAGAAAATATTTGTTAATCATGTATCTGGAAGGAGACTAGTATCCAGAATTTAAGAAGAACTCCTACATCAATAAATGGGCTAAAAATTTGGGCAGGCGTTTCTCCAAAGAAGATATAGAAATAGACAATAAGCACATGAAAATATGCTTAATCATTAGTCATCGGGGGAATGCTAGTGAAAATCACACTCAGTGTGGGGTAAGGTAGCTGTAATCAAAATGATGGGCAATAATACACGTTGGCGAGGATGCAGAGAAATTGGAACCCTCACACATCACTGGTAGAAATATAAAATGCTACAACCACTTTGGCAGTTTCTCAAAAAGGTTAGCATAAAGTTACCACATGGTCCAGCAATTGCACACCCGAGTATTTACCCAAGAGTGCTGAAGCCTGTGTCCACACAAGGACTGTACACATCTTCACAGCAGCATTATGCACCCGAGCCAAAGGGTGGGGACACCACAATGTTAATGAAATGATGAATGGATATACAAAAGGTGGTATAGCTGTATGACGGAATGTTAGTGAGCCCTAAAAAGGATGCTGCACTAGTATATGTGACGACTTGGATAAATCTGGAAAACATTCTCCTTAGTGAAAGAAACCACTCACAGACTAGGATTCCATTTATACAAAATGCCCCAAACTGGCAAATCCACGAAGACATAAAGTAGATGAATGGTTGCCTGGGGAGAAGGGGGAGAAAATGAGTGGTAACTAGTGATGGGAATGAAGTGATGAACATGTGCTGGACCGAGGCAGTGGCGATCCTTGTATAATCTCTGAACATACTAAGTATCACTGAATTATATGCTTTACAAGAATAAATTTGATCTTTAATGAATTACATATTAATTTTTAAAAATAGAATATTGAGCATTAGCTACTTTTGAATTGTCATTGTCTTCCCTGGTTTTGCGTTGAAAATGACCTTAAATTTCCATAAGAAAAATTCACAGAAAAAAAATCTTCCAAGGAAAAGCAGACCACACCAAAAAAGAATCCCCATTCATCCAAGAGTACTATTTTTTATTTCCAGTTGGAAATGGGTGATGAATCCAAATCAGAGTCTCTCCCCCAACAATGAATACAATGAACAAGAAATAATTCACAAGAAAAGCTGCCCCCTCACCAGGGACAAGAGAAGGAAAGAGGAATCGTGGGCTGCAGACACGGCACTGCCGTCTGCGGGGTCCTAACACCTCCACACTCCCTCCACGCCCAGCTGTCCACATCTCCACTCCAAGCCATGGGGACCAAGGAGCTGGATGCACCAAATTCTCATACCTCTGGCTATTAGTTACCAAGGTGGAGAGACATGGCCTGAGGGAGTGTGTAGAAAACCCAAGGAGAACTCCCCACAAATAGAAGCTCCTGTGTTGCTGGTATCTGGATCTCGGCATTTCAGGAGGAAAACCAGCCAGCATCCCCCAAAGTCAGGGTCCTGGAACAGGGCAGGGAGGCATGGAGGGTCCTCTCATGGGCCTGGCTGTCCCCAGCTAGAACATAGTGTCCCCACCTGCTCCCATGCTCTCAGACCTGCTCAGTGGATGTGACAAGTAGCTTCTCACACAAGACGACAGGGACATCAGGCGAGTCCCCTCATTCCTGCTCTGCTTTAGAAATGTTAGGTCCATTGGGCACCTGGGGGGCTCAGTCGGTGAAGCACCCGCCTTCATCTCAGGTCATGATCTCAGGGTCCTGGGATGGAGTCCTGCACAGGGCTCCCTGCTCAGCGGTGAGTCTGCTTCTCCCTCTACCCCTCTCTCTGCTCGTGCTCTCTCTCTCTCCGGTCTCAAATAAAGAAAATATTTTTTAAAAAATAGAAATTTTATGCCCATCCTTGCATTTGGAGTTGAAGTCTTTCTTGACAGATAAGATCCTGTCTACTTCATTTTCTTTCCCCAAAACTTTTTCAAACTTAATGATAGAAAAAAATTATATAGAAAATTCCTACCTTAAGTACATTCCCAGGGAAGTATGGCAGTTTGCATAACTCCCCCACTCATTTTTGTACATATTTTTAAATATATTTATTTGACTATTATGTAACATTTTAAAAGTACAGAAAAGTATAGTAATTAATATAAAAGATATACCTCCACCACGGAGATTAAACAAGTGTGAACATTTTCCTCTGCTTGTGTCTTTTTTTTTTTTTTAGAAACAAAATTTGTCAGACTTACATTGGATGGATAGATATGTCAAGTTAACAGTAAAATGTGAATGGTGGAATCTAGAAGGTGTATATACAGGTGTTCACTGGAAAATTCTTTCTGTACATTGGAATATTTTCTTTCTCTTTTTTTAAGATTTTATTTATTCATGAGAGACACACACACACAGAGGCAGAGACACAGGCAAAAGGAGAAGCAGGCATCCTGCGGGGAGCCCAATGCGGGACTCAATCCCAGGGCCCAGAATCACGCCCTGAGCCAGAGGCTGATGCTCAACTGCTGAGCCACCGAGGTGCTCCATTGGAATATTTTCATTATGAAATGTCAGGGAGGAGACACACCTGACAAATACAGTTAAATCTCACCCATCACCACCCGGTCCTCAGGTCCTGTACAGTAGGGATGCAATATTCTTACATTTTTATAGTCTTCATATACACACACATTTATCCATAAACACAACACTTACTTGGTTTTAAAACTTCCATAAATGTTTCCTATCCTGCTTCACTCCAATTAAGATTTTTGAGACTTATTCTGGTAATACACCTATACCAACTACTCTTTTTAATGACTATGTCCCATTCTATATAGAACTTAAAAGTGGCAGGAGAATAAGTGAACAAACTTTAGAACTTATTATTACAGTGCATACAATGTTACATATGATTCATATAGTTATATACAGTATATGCAGTTTATAGATAAATGGGTGTGTATAAAGAGTATAAAAACACGTCTTGTGGGGCATGCGTACCCAGGCCACAGGAGGCCCTGAGTCCCTAGGCCACGCACCTCAGGATATCATGGAGAGGCCCCAAGTCATGACTGTGCTACCCATGATGGCAAAGACAAGGGACATGCCGCACCCGCCCCATGCAGACCCAAGGAGGAGACACATGGGAGCTTCACCTGGTTGCAGAGAAACACACCAAACATTTTACAACACATTTGTGTAACTTTGGCTACCGTCCCTATAGTTTCTGGAAAATGTTTTCCTAAACATTCAGAGCATCGCCCATATATCGGCCTCCATCTGTGGGTCTCTTGGGCCTCAGCCCGGCCTCACCAGGTGCCTCCAAGCTAGGAGCCCTGTGATGACCGTGTCTGTCCAGACCCACACCCCGTGGAGGCCATGTCGTGGTTTTCTCCTCTCGAGCGATTTTGAGAGGAAAGGCTGTAAAACACAGAAAGGCCATGCAAATGGTGTCACAGTGCAACTCACCGGTCGTGGAATGCGGGGACCTTGGAAGGACACTGCAAATACTGCTTAAACCGGAGTTCGAAGGCCTGTCCGATGGAGCCGATGACGTCCTGAGCCAGCCCGTCGCAGCACTCCAGAATGTGGCAAGCTGTGAGCACAAGCAGCACAGGCCCCATTAGAGACCGGGGGGCCAGCAGGCTCCTCCATGGGAGCCCTTCCCCATGGTGAGGTCACAGTGGGGAGGGGCAGGGGGCAGGGGGGGAGGGATGCGTGTCCCTCACCGGCTGTCCCAGCAGTGCCACAGATGCAAAGTGTTGCCATGGGGATGCACCTCTCAACGGCTGTCTAAAACTAACGGTTGTATTTGTAAATGCATTTTAACATTTTTAATTTCAAATTGATTGCTCTTAACAATTTCTTAACAGTCTATAAAATACCAGCTCAGAGCCCAGCAGAGAGAAGCAGGGTTTGGAAGGAAACGTTGATGGGAACATCGGCGACATCTGAACCGGATCATAGCAAGAAATGAGCTCCCCAAGGCCCCGGGGGCCTGGAGAACCCACCTAACCCAGCTCTTGTGGAGTGAGGCCTAAGCTACCCTGTGGATGCAGAGGGGGTTGTTTGCTTACTTCCCAGTGGGAGTCAAGTGTCCTCACTGAGTGTCACAACTCAAAGACACCAAAGATGAATTTAAAGGGGTTATTAATTCACCGGGGGCTCCCACCACATGCCACCTGCACCTGCTCCCATGTGACATAGGCTACTCGCGCAGGTTATCAGAAAAGCAGCTTGTGTTAAAGAGATCAAAGCTGGGGGGGGGGTCAGTGGCCTGATGAGGGCCCCTCGGGGGCCTGGAGCAACTCTCAGCCACTCCATGACAGGCCCCCGCCGGCCCTGGAGGGCACCCTGGCCGGCAGCATGGCTGAGGCAGAATTGGTGTGAACTGCCAGAAAAAAGAAGGAGCAGAGGCAGAGGGCGGGTCCCCACTCCACGAGAGAGTAGGATGTCTCCTCCCAGACACTCGTCCTCAGGGGGCCGCCAGAGTCCCAGCCCACCCTGTGTGACCTGCATGGCATGGTCTTGTCGTAACAGGGTAAAGGTATTGTCCCCCAAGAGAGGGGCCAGTGCAGGTGTCACCCTCCATGTGGCTCCCAGCAATGGCTAGGACGTCACTGTATTTCAGGGGGGCCCTAGGGGTGCGGCGGGGGCGGGCAGGTGGCGGGAGGAGGCACTTCCACAAGGGGAGCTGTCCCCACACCCGTGACACCACCAAACCGTCCTCTGGCTGCACAAAGCCAGCCAGGCCATGCAGGTCAGCCGGATGGCTGCTGCCAGGCCCGGGGATCCTCAGCTTCCTGTCCCCCCCCACCCCCCCAGGCTGGAGGAGAGCACACGGAGGACACGGGGAAAAGCATGTCCTGGGAAGAGCCACGTGGCTGTATTTCAGCTCCCGATCGAAGTGCATGCTCTTGGGAACACTAAGGATGGCCGAGACGTGTGTCCCAAGGAGACCGATGCCCAGCTGCATTTTTATTATTGATTATTGTTGGGATTGGTTTTTATTTTATTTTTTTAAAGATTTTTTATTTATTTATTCATGAGACAGACAGAGAGAGAGGCAGAGACACAGGCAGAGAGAGAAGCAGGCTCCATGGAGGGAGCCCGATGTGGGACTCGCTCCCGGGACTCCAGGATCACGCCCTGGGCCGAAGGCAGGCGCTCAACCGCTGAGCCACCCAGGCATCCCGGGATTGGTTTTTATTAAACATCAACCCTGTAGGCACAGAGCAAGCCCATATTACACTGGAGCTGCTGGAGGTGTGGGGCTGCGCAGGGAGCAGTAGGAGGGGACGTGTCTCTCCAGCTGCTAAGGAGGCAGGAGTCTAGGCAGGAGGGAGGCAGACACGGTGGTTCCCACCTGATCGCTTCCAGCCACACATGCCCCCTGCACCCCCTGGTTGGCCCCAGCCAAGGATGCTGCCCGGTGGCACTTTGGAGAAGAGTAGAGTGGGGAAGGGTCAAAACCGAGGAGCTTCCCTTCGTTCTGAAAAGCAGCCATGGTGAGGGAAGGACAGAGGGTGCCTCCCGACCCATCTGTGGGGCCCCGCTAGTCCAAACAGCAGGGACCCAGACACCTGGAACCGGCCCTCTAAGGCAGTTCCTGGCACACCTGGAAGGGGCAGGGCTGCGGGTGCACGCTGCCCGGTGGGCTGATGGGCAGATAGGAGAGGGCAGCAGAGCGTGCAGATGCTGCAGCCACATCTCCACGCTCCGGCACCTCATGGGCTCCTTGGAAGGAACAGCGACACTGGTGAACTCTCACCAGAGAGGCGCAGGCCCCCAACCTCAACACAGTTTCCAGCCAATGGCAGCCTGTCCTCTGGGGCGTCTGCAGGCCCTGCATTGCTCGGACTTTTACATCAGAGACTGGCAAGAGCTCCGGGCTCCAGCTCCCCTGTACAGACCAGGCGGGTGCCGCTTCCCGGCCCCAGAGGCGGACTGGCTAAACTCTTAGAAAGTAACTTCACACCCATCAGATTGGCAGGGACTTAAGCACCAGGGAGATGAGGTCAGGCTGGGAGGTGGGGGGCCCTAACCCAGTATCACAGGTGCCCCAGTGCAGACCGGCACCCGCTCGAGGCAGAAGGCCCTGTGAAGACAGACCCTGGAGCCAAGTGGCCACAAGCCGGGATACCAGGAGCTGGAGAGGGAGGAAGGGTGCCCTCTACAGGAGGGGCTCACAGCTTGCAGCCTTGTACGCAGGAGCCCTAGCAAACCTACGAGGCAGCCTCCCACGGGGAGAACAGGCTAGTGGGGAGCCTCTCATCTGCCGCTCTCACCCAGGCCAAGCCCTGCTTCTCTGCAGCTTCTACAGGAAAGTTGCTGCAAGGTGGGGAGCTGCTGGGCTCCGGGTGTCAGCAAGGGCTGTTGCGGATGGTCCTTGGCTCATCAGGACCATCCGTGCCCCCCTCCCGTCTAGGCTCAAAGCTTCCCGATCGCCCCACCTCTGGTTCAGGAGTAAGGATGTGGCCAGGATAATCCAGAACATTCACCTCACCTAAGGGGACCCCTCGCCCCCCAGACACCCGTGCACCTGGGGGCAAATAAGGCTGACACAGAAAGCTCTTGTCTTCTCTGATGGCGTGGAAGGCAGGCAGCCCCGCCACAGCCCCGAGTACCAACCTGGGGCAGGAGGATGCCGGGTGGAAAATCATCCTCACGCACTAACACGGGAATGCAAATTTTTATAGCCCCAGCCGGGTGGTGATCTGCAAGGTTCACTGACCTCTGAACCATCTAACCTCTCTGCAAATGCCCCCCGAGAGGGGCCGCACAGCAAGGCAGGGACATCTGTGCACAGACTGACCCCCGGGGCTCAGTTCACCTGGCGGATGAAGCTAACCTCACCGCACCACATCACCGACAGTAACCTGTTCCCTGCCGCCTGTCTTGGAAACACATCCAAGAGATGGTAAGGGGGAGGGGGCCAAAACAGAATGCTAAGATCTCATTTGCATTGGAATTTTAACAGAAGAGAACATATGTATATGTATGTAGATAAAAAGTTCTGTAAAGCAAACTAGAAGATGTTAACGGTTGGTACCTGGGATGGAGGGTGGGAGGAGGCATAAGTGCAGCTCTAGATTGCTATACACCCCCCCCTCAAGGCGATGGCAACTCCGTCCACAAGTTCTAAGTTGGGACTGTGGGAAGCACCCATATTCAACGGTATTCAAGGGTCGCACACCTGTGGTCAGTGTGCCCACCCAGGCCATTGGCACTTACAGAATGGGGTGGGGGGGCATGGAGGTAGGATCGAGTAGGAAAGGGTCCACAGGGATGGAAAGTCCTTGAAGGCCTCAGAGGCCCCATCCAGCCTGCATCTGAGGCCCTGGCAACATTGTGGGGCATCAGGGGGTTGGCAGGTGAGCTGAGCTGCAGGGCTGTGCCGGGCAGTGGAGTTGGCAGTGAAGCTGGAGCTGGGCAGGGGGACAGGTGGGCTATGTGCAGGGTTCCAGGTGGGATCCAGGCCACCCTCAGGGCCCGAGTGGGTGCTGTGACTGTGGACCAGGTGCACCAAGCTACGGTCAGCTGCGCACAGGTGTGTGTTTGAAGCTCACAGTCATCCAGCGTCTCCTAACCCGGCAGAGTCTGCTGCCACACTTGACTGCCTGCAAACCTCAATTACCATTAACAACACGACAGGACACATGCTCCGGTCAGCGAAGGGGGCCGAGATGATGAGCAACATCTGGTGTCCAGCATTAAGCCTGTCTGCCTGCGAGCAAGAGTGTGTAAGTCAAGCATTGCTTACCTCTGCGATTAACAGGGTCCTTCGCTACGTATGCCACATAGTCTGTTGTGTCCTGTCAAAGAGAAATGAGACATCCACATCACTAATGACAGGTGAGTCGGCACAGCCAGACGCACAGCACACACACAGCAGCTCAGGAGTCAAACGCTCCCCGACAGGCGGCCTTCCTCCAACCACCATGGGCAGTAGTCACCCAAATGGAAGATTCAGACTCAGCCAGGCCTGGGGTTCTGCATCCGCAGCCAGCTTACACTGGCGCTGACACTGCTGTCTGTGCCTGCAGCCCGGGCAGCAGGGATGTGAGGTGTACCCCATTCTCTGCATGTTGGACCCCCTGAGGGGTGCTAACAACACGGAGGTCAGAAGCCCAACTCCCAGACAATCTGACCTAAGTAGACTGCATATGAGGAAGAGGGTCCTGAGAGTGGAGGCTGCAACCACTGCCCTCCACTCTGCCTAACAGCGGCCCTCCACCTGAGCTGGTGCCGGCATCCCTCGCGGGGCTTGTGGAAACAGATGGCAGGGCCCCACGTCCGGGTTTCTGATTCCATGGGTCCGACGTGAGGCCCCCAAATGAGCATTTCTGACAAGCTTCCCAGTGATGCGGTGCTGCTGGTGCAGAGGCCATGAGGAAACCAGAAGCGAATGTTCAAAGGTTGGTTGCAAATGCCTTCCTGGATGGATGAGACACCACAGTTCTTTTCTTCTCAGACGTAAGCAGTCATTTTAATCCTTTTAAGACATGTGGGCTCCATGTAGTAGTCTGGCAGTTACAGGTGACACACTAGTCCACTTGGCCGCCTCCTCATCTAATCAGTGCATGGAGGAAACTCTGCCCTCAGAAGTGGGTGGGGCTGCCACGTGGATTTTAGTTTCTAAACCAGCAAAGGAATCAATAATTATCTTCATTCTTGAAAGCAGGGAAGACCTCCCCGCAAAGTTGACATTTTCAATATTCAAAGAAATCTCAGGGAGGCAACTGGTAAAGGCTCGCCCCATTCTTGCAGCTACTTCCCAAATGTCACTGCTTGGAAGGCTCAAGGGTTATTGACAAGCTCCTGGTGTGTTCAGCATCTGAAAGATGCTGTGTCATGTGTTCCTCTACTACTTCTCTCCATGCCCAAGACACCTCCCCCCACTTCTCTCTCTCTCTCTCTTTCTCTCTCTCTGCAGTGCTCCAGGAAAACCCCCAACAGGAGTGGGGAAGACAACGAGCGTGGGGGTGTGCACCGGTTATGAGCACCTACGGCTGGTGGTGCCAGTTGCAGGGTACCTGTCCATAGGCCGATTCCCAGAGCCCACAGCCAGGGCTCTCCAGAGGCTTCTGACATGATGGGCTGCTACCTGGGGCCCCTCCTGCATGTACCCGCCTATGCTATTCCATCCTCCTATTCAGGCCACTGTCCACTACTCTTTTCAGACTGAACTGGGAAGGGTGTAGAGCACAGACCATCAACCCAGCCACCGGTCATTTCCATCAAGGAAGATCTGGTCAGGATCTGAAGCCAACTGCCGCTTGTAGTCACAAATGCTCTCCATGGATTCAGGAGATGACAGCGTTGGAAGCGTCCTATGATAGGACTCATGTCTCTCAGTTTGTGATCCACGAACCCTGGGGCCAGGCAGATATGTTTGAGATGTCACCAGAATTTTTTTTAATATGTTTTATTTGCCATGATAACCTTAAAAATTAATGCAAGAATATCCAGAACAATCTGAACAACCACTGTTGTGTCAGTTCTGCATGTGATGTCAGCGTCAAGGTTGTCTATTGAGTCTCAAATTTTAAGGGTGCCAGGTTTTTAAAGAATTAGAGAAAAAAGAACACTCAGACTAGATGCTTTTGCCCCAACTCAAGCAATTAATGTCACATTTGTACATAATGATGTATCACTGAAGTGCTGGCTTGAATAGAATAAATTAGTGGAAGTACTGAGTCATCCAGGCACCCGGGGTAGTGGAGAGATGCTGACCTTGAAGGATCCTGCACTGTGGTGGCTGCTTCTAGAGTCATGCCGAGAGTGGAAATCCAGCATCGGCAAAACCATCCATCACAGGAAATTAACGTTACTTTGAATGTTACTGGCTTTACTGTGTTTATCAGTAGTAAATGTTTGAATTTGACTGGGGTTTAGTGTTCAACAAGAAGCATAAACCTAAGGAGTCTATACTTGACTGATTTTTGTGCCTATTTGGGTAACAAAATCATTTTGCATCAGCTCATAGGCAAGGCAGTTCTTCTTTTTACTTTCTTATTGTAGTCTGAGAAATGCTGCTCTGGGGAAGGAAGGCCAGGGATGTGACTTGTGTCCCACGTGTCCTGTCCCTTGGATGCTTAATGGCTGAGCCAAGGCAGAGCTCTTCTCATGTCAATACTGATCATTTTCTGGCTCACTGGGGGAGTGTATTGCTATTCAAAACACTGTTCTAGACATCACACGGCCACACATGGAACACTCCGAGCTCCAGACACGGGGCTGCTGGTGCCTGTCCTGTGACTGTTCCATCGCTGTTCCCACTCCCCTAGAGCTTCTGAGCCTGGCCAGCACTCTGGCACTTCCCTGGGAGAACTTGGAACACTGTTAATGACAGTAGATTAAAATAACGGTGCACCTCTTGGGGGGAGTGGCTGGATTAACAGTGTTTTCCAATCTATCTTCTTTGATAGAAGAATGCCATTTTCAAAATGCCATTTTCATACTGAGTAAACCAAGGCACAAAGCAGTAAGTGGATACACACTTAGTGGCAGAATAAGGCATACAGCCTGGAATTGTTAGTGTTATTTAAACATCTACCAATTATCCTGGTCACAAATCAGTATGGAATGGGAACTTATGCAAATGCGAATATGCATTTGGACTGGTTAAAATGGAAAGTAACAGAGTTCCCTGCCCACCCTGGTATCCTGACATTTTCTGTGTCAGAAAAAAGCTCAGAAGAAAATATTAAAAAGTCATGAATTTCTTTAAGGGTCACTGAATGCTTCCTTTTTTTTTTTTTATGACAAGGTGTTGAGGACATTTGAAAGCAGCTCACAGGCCCGTGTGCATCCTGGAGAATAAAATAATTTTAACTCAAGTCAACATATTTGGTTTCCAGAGTTTTTCTTTGCTGTATACCCACTCATTCTATCAGCATTAGCTGAGGTTTGAGACAAGTTCTTGGAAGAATCTGTTGCTACAGGTGTGTTCTATTCCTTCCTTTTATTTTTCAAGCTGGGTCACCTTCCATATTTCAGAAACTATGGTGCCAAGCATCATATTGAGCCAGTCGTTAGGGCCCCTGCAAGTCGATTAGGGCCGATGCAAACACAGGGGATGGCGTGAGGACAGATATGCGTGCAGGTGCGGTGCAGGTGGAGAACGGGCACACCTGTCCCTCCACATCCTCAGAAACGCACCACAGATGGCTTTGATTGTGGCAGACTCCCACTTTCTAAATGTTTGTCTCAATGAGCTCTTTCACTTTACAATAAAACCTAAAAAATGAAGGGGTTGGAGAGAAAGTAAAGGGAGCAGAGAGGAAGGGAAAGAGGAAAAACCATGGCGGAGATTTGAGGATGAGCCCCTAACTACGAGAGACAGTGAGTCAGGTGGGTCCTGAGGGGTGCACAGATGGTGCTCCGTCATCCTCTGTCAATCAGGCGGGGGTTTGAGGGCAAAGAACCGCATGCAGGGCAGCCAAATCCCTCTCCTGCCAGTGCCCTGGGCCCAAGGGTCTTGCCAAGCATGACATCTCCAGGGCCCAAGGGTCTTGCCTGCTTGACATAGCCCCAGGGGCTGCAGCCACTGGGGCGGGGGTGGCAGACTCAGGGTGTCTGCAGCCGAGATGCCTGGCCATGACTGTACTGTCCTTTGGAAATGTGGAGATGAGAGCCAGCAGTGGGAACTGCCCCCTCCATCTGGCTCTGCATGAGCCAGCAGCCGTTCCTCAGGTGGGGGAGCAGGGGACGAAAGGTGTATGTGGGCAGAGGTGGGATAAACACAGGGCATGGGAAATACTCCCTCCCCAGCCAGACCCAGACAAGGTCTCAGGCACTGATCACCTGGGCTGCCCTGGACCTGTCAACTTCTACGTAATAAAACACCACTTCTAAACCTCCATGCTCTCATTATAGGAGACTATTTAGCAGCAAAGGGGCATCTTGTCAGGACAATTTGTCTTTTTGAGTAAATTTAGCTCCAAGAAAATACTCATTTTGTTGTCAGAATTTTTAAATATTCCCCTAGATCGGTGAAAACCTTCTGGGGCCAATGAGACATGGTATGATAATAGTCTCCAGGGGTGGTACTTTCATCCCCTTAGCTTTGGGAAGGGCTGACTGGCTCCTCTTCCCTCGAGACAATTTCTTGCCTGGGTTGCTTCAGAGGACTGGCCGGGGACAGTGAGCAGCAGTTACAGTGTGTAGGTGTGTGTGTGTGTGTGTGTGTGTGTGTGTGTGTCTGACTCTGGGGGAGGAGGAGGACGGAGAGGAGGGAGGAGGAGAAGAAGGAGGGAGAGAGACAGGAAGGGGAAGAAGAAGATGGGGAAGGGGAGGAAAGAGGCAGGGAGGAGGAGGAGGGAGAGGGGGATGGGAGAAAGGAGGAGGAGGGGAAGGGGAGGAGAGAGAAGGGCAGGAGGGAAAGAGTGAAGAAGGGGGGAAGGGAGAAGGGAAGGGGAGGAAGGAGAGGATGGAGATGAGGCAGGTGGGAGACAGGGAGGGGGAGGAGGGAGGTGTGAGAGGAGGGAGATGGGGAGGGGAGGAGGGAGATGAGGAAGGAGGAAGATAGGGAGGGGGAGGAGGGAGTGAGGGAGGAGGGAGAGGGCAGCTTTCTGATGACGTGGACACTGTCTGTGGTGCTGCTGACCAAGCGTAGGGAGCAGATTTCCTTGTGACCCCACCTTCTTAATGAAAGAAGCAACACAAAAATAGAACATTCTCTTCTGTTCTCCCTCCCTCTCTGTCTCTCTCTCTCTCCTTCTCTGCTGGCAAATCAAACCAGTAAGACTACAGCATTGAATTTGGGGAGAAAGATTCTAATTCCAAATATCTATGAATAAACCAGATCCAGTAAACCCGCGGCCCTCCAGTAGACCCCAGGGACGAAATCAGAGGCCCAGCAGCGGGAAGGAAAAGCGCAGGGCCCCATGGCCGGCCAGGGAGCTGAAGCTGGGGAGCCGCCCCACGAGCACCTCACAAAGCCCACACTCGAGGGACTTTTGCTAGTTTGGAGCTAAGGAACTGAACCCGAAGGGCGGTCCAGAGGGGCCTGTGGGCTGGGGCTTGGGATCCCAGTACCTCCCCGCCCGCGGGCTAGAGGCGCCCCGCGCCCCCCGGCCCTTCTCGGGAAGCCCCGGGCAGCGCGAGGAGAGCAAGCCGCGGGCACTTACCGGGTCTCCCCCGGAGGCGAAGGAGATGGACTGCATGTGGTGGTTCGCGATGATCTGCGGGCCCAGAACGAGAGAGTCACCGTCACGACCCACCCCGCGGCTCCCAGCACCAGCTGTCGGCGCACAGCACAGGCGCCAGGCCCCCGGGATGGGTAAGGTGGGCCCGATGGACACAACCTTGAGGTCGGTCATGGCAGCGGTCCCCTCTGGGGGGCCCTTCCCGATGCCCCAGGCGCACGCCAGGACCGCGGCACCTGGGTCTGATCGCACCAGGGAGGGAGGAGCTCTGGGCACCCGCTCGTCAGACGGGGACCCCAAGACCCCGGCACTATAGCGGGCAGTGCCCTGGCCACCGTCGCAGCTCTGACAAGGAGTGTGTCTCTCCACACAACAAACGTCTGCTCCCAAAGACACACGCGGTCTTCAGCAGAGACAGACCCACAGCCAGTGCAGAGGGAAGTGTGTTCCCCCGCGTGAATCCAGGGTGCGTGCTAATCAGAAAGCCCGCCAGAGATGGGGGCCACCCCGGGCGCTCTCGTAATCAATTTTATCAATTCAAAGGCCAGCGAGGACCTTCTGAGTTAATTTTGAACTGGGAAATTTCCATGAGCCTCATCAACTGCAGGCTGCAGCGGGATTCAGCAGACACTGAGTGAATTAGGAGCTGCCCTAAATTTAAAAAGCTACGTAAGGTTTCCGTGCTATTTTTACCATTTTGAAGAGAATGTAATGACAGTGAAGTAAATTCTGGGGCTGAAAACAGTGGTCCTGCCCACACCCCAAGGCCACCAGGTTCAGCTCTGCGGGGCACCTCAGGCCCTCGGTGCAGGCAGTGGGGAGTTAGGGAGGCGACACCCCACCATCCCAGGGCTTTCCCGCTCAAAGCAAGACTAGGATTGAGCCGTAGGAGAAAACGAGACAGTTTAAAATGCCTGGCTTGGTTGTTGGCATTTGCAAGAAGCACTTGGGATCTAGAAAGACCTAAGCGTGTAGATGGATAGACACAAGGAGGTCGCCCTGGATCCGACTGCCCACTGCCCCACGTGGAGCCTTCCAGAATCCTCCCGCCTCCAGTCCCTGGGGCAGGGGGCCACCAGGAGGGCAGCGAGCACCATCAATCCCCGAAGGAGGATCAACTCCTAAAAGGTGTGGATTTGTGCTTGTAAGGCAGCTCTAATACTACGGTTTGGAAAATGAAGCGGGTGTTGTGACTTAGAGGAAAACAACTGGAAATCATATTTGGTCACCACAATGCGTGACCGTCAGTCTGCGGTGGCTGTGGCCCCTCAGGTAAGATGGGAACTAAATGGGGAGCAGGCAGGGTCAAGTAGGTGCAAGCAGGTGTTTCCATCCAAGGGAGGGTTCAGGGGGCTCCTCCTCTCTCAGTGGGGCTGCTCCAAATCTGCAACAGCTGGGCGTGCACTCCACCACAGAAGAGCCACGGGATGTGGCTGGGACACGTGCCCCTGGCATCCTGGAAGGCGCCCTCCTGCCCCTGAGCCCAGCCCCACACCCATCCTCCGAAATAGTGAGGACCCGACACAGCCGACCAGCCCCCCAATCCCAGGATGGCTGCGCCCCTTCCACTCTTCCTGAGTCTTTTTTAGAAGAGGAATGAGGGAGAAGGGGGGACTTGGAGATATTCCCACAGAACTGAGGGCCACGGTCTGAGAATCCCTAGAAACATGGGAGCAGCCATACGTCGTGTGGTAAGGGACAGAGGCACATGGTTCGGGGCAAGGGGACCCGCCTCCCTCGGCCGTCCTGCAGCATGAGGGCCTTGGCAGCTCGGGCTCGGCCTAGGAAAGGGGGCGTGAAAAGACAAGAACGAGGAGCCCGTGCCAAACACAGGCACCTGCCCTAACACTGCACGTAGATCAGACACTTCACATGTTATCCTCAAGGAAAAGGCAATTTATAGCAGAATTTAAGAAAACCAATTCCATCTACCACTCCATGGACGACCCTTCAAAGGGGCCGAAGTTTGCAGGCGAGCAGAGATTTGAGACGAATGTGCTCCCCCCGGGCCCAGCACACCCGTCGTGGCGGAGCTCTGGGCGGGGCGGGGCGGGGCGCCTACACACCTGCTTGGAGTCGGGCGTCCGCAGGTTCAGGCTGGCGGTGGATATGGTCAGGGAGATGCTCATCCCCGCAAACTGGAGGTTGCTCTTGCCCAAGATGCTGGAAAGCATTTTGCTGGGAGGCTGTGGAATCAAGCAGAAGCCATGTTAGCTTTTGGTTCACATCATCGCAGCCTCTCCTCTCCAGTGCTCCCCTAGTCATCTGCCACACCCCCAAACCTCCACCTCCCTGCCCTCACTAGGCATGTGGCAGAGATGATGCCACGGAGGAGCTGGGAGGCGGGATCTGACACTAACATATACGCTCTGAAACACGCAGAGGCAGCTGTGCACACAGCGGGATGAAGACACTCGCAGGACGTCTGTGTCCAGGTGGCTCCTCCCATGGGGCCACATCCCATGTCCCCCATAAGCCTGGGAAAGTGCCACAGACCAGAGCCCGCAGCTGCCAGGCTCAGAAACCGGCTTCATCCCACTGGGAGTTAAAACCTTCAGGGCCAGAGCAGAAGGGTCCAGCGTCCTCTGGAGTCTGGAGGCCACTCACTGCTCGGGGGGCGGGGGTGGGGGACACAAGGCCTGTGGCTGGAACATCCTCCAGCCAGTGCTCACAGATGGTCATTAGCCCCTGCTGGGCCCAGAGCCAGCTCAGGACGTGCCACCTGGCTCAGCTTAACTCAAGGTCCTTTGCAGGGCCCCATGGACTGTGCTTTCCCACTGAGCACCTTTCCGCAGGTGCCTTAGGCACCTGCTTCCCCGTCCAAGGTCCAGGCCCCACTCACTGACCATCCTTCCCTTTCAGATTAGAATGTGCCCTGTTTGATATGCTAATTAACGCTAGGTCTTTTTTAATCTCCTGACAAAGCATTTTAATCACCCTCCAAAATTCTGATTAAGTTATAAGGGAGGGGGGACCAGAAATCTGTTTTACTTGGTCTTACTTTTCCTACCTTCACTGACTCTGAGACACTCCCCTAGCTCTATCCTCAGACTCCCTCCCTGTTAACATATGTGAGATTCAAGATCCAAAGTTCTCTGCCAGGAACCCAGTAGCCGCAGTAGCCCCGTGGCTTCGTGGCTTCCCCGATGTCCCCAAGCTATGATGACAAAACCCACCCACAGCTCTGTGAGTAGCAGGGACAAGCATGCAACCTGCCTGCAAACCTCAGTGTCAGGACAGACTTGGAGACCTCAGAGATGCCCCCAGGACGGAGTCTGGGCCTAGATGGTCCTGAGGGTGGGTATTAGTTATGTACCTGCTAGACTTTTTTAACCGGAGAGTTTTCCTGAGCTTTCTCTTAATCCATATTTCTCCCTGCCAGGTGAAAAGATTGAGTGACCTGGTCTTGAGCTCAGCTCACTACCTATGCACACTGTGGCTTCTATCTCTGTGCCTCAGCTTACACCATCTGTAAAACAGGGATGCCCATGGCATTCTGGAATGGGCTGTACCAGCTAATGAGAGACAATTATTAAGTTTGTAGGAATTTTATGAGCTGGGCTTTAAAAGTGGCTGCTATGAAAAACTACTTAAACATACAGTTAAATAAATTACAATTAAAAAACAATAAATACTCAAAGCTTGTCACTTTCTAGCTGTTTCTGCTACATTAATGCTCATCTGCATTGTTCTGGCCTCTTGTGTCCCCTGCACTTGCCATGTGGGGACACTGTGCAATGACCTGCCACCGCATGTCTTCAGGGATGTCACGTCACAGCTTGAAATCAGCCAGGAGGGGCACACACGCCACAGATCCGGTGCTTCTTACTCTGACCCCGAGAGCTGCTGGTTAAATCTGCCAGCACAGGGGCACCTGGCTGACTCAGTGGTTGAGCATCTGCCTTTGGCTCAGGTTGTGTGATCCCAGGGTCCCGGGATCAAGTCCCACATTGGGATCCCTGCATGGAGCCTACTTCTCCCCCTGCCTGTGTCTCTGCCTCTCTCTCTGTGTCTCTCATGAATAAATAAATAAGATCTTTAAAAAACTTTTTAAATCTACGAGCACAGCATCAGGGCATCTGTCACAGCAGCTATTCTACTGAAGTGAATTAATGCCCGTAAAGGCTGAGAAGGGCTCCTGCCCTGTCGATTGTGTCTGTTCTCATCACTGTCTGCAGGTTTAGTTACTGGGGGTGCAACCAGGGAGCTGACTTGGGTTGGCCAGTGACAACTGTCCTGCCTATCACATGGCAGGAGGACCCTACACTCTTATTGTTTTAAAAGCACAGAGAGTCAGGCAGTGAAAGGGGATCCTGACGGGTGGGGGGTGACGAAAGGTGCCACGCGGGGAGGAGACACAGGAACAGTACCTTTCTCTTCCTGAAGGCTCCCTTGGTGCCAGGGACGGCTTCACAGACACGGCTGATGGCTTCCCTGAAGGGGGCAGGAAGAGAGATCCTTTTGTCACATTATTCAGGATTCTATAACCCACAGAGCACACGTGCATGTCCCCAGGGAAAACATCTGCTGTGCAGTTGAGTGTAGACAGTGGGCCCCCCACGGCAGGGGTCACCTAGTTCCCCTCTAACGGGCAAAACTGTGCAAAACACGAACAGGTCATCTTGAACCTCTGATGGGCAGTGCCCTCCTGATGGATGCATCCTAAGGGTGTGATAGGTGTGATAGGTATCGATGACACACTCCTCTGCTGTACATTTGGTGAGGATTCCATTCGATAAAGCAGGACCTTGACATGTGTTGGTGTTCCCTTCAAGGCCATGGTCCTGGCACAGGGCCAGACCTGGCCAAGCATCGCCACGGGTCAGCATCCTTCTTCCAAAGCATGTCAGAATGTTATCAAAAGAAATTTGGTCTTCTGAGTGTTATTCTTAGCTTCTACAGTTAGTATCATAAAACCAAAAGGGTTCTGAGGGAGGAGAGGCTATCCCGCGGTACACAAATGAGCCAGACATGAGGTCTGTGCAGGGCAGCTCCCTGGAGCACGCATTTGCTGAGCAGCTACTATGTACAGGGTGTGCCCTGAGGAGAGGAGGCAAAGAGAGTCCTAGGTACAGGGGATGTGACGGGAGGCCGGGCTGCAGAGGGTCCTCCCGGGCGGGAGCCCTCGAGAGGTGGGGAGCAAGTGGAATGGACCACATGGAAGCTGCTGTGGTCCAGATGGTGGAGGCAGGGGTGCCTACAGTGGAGGGGGCATGGCTGACGGCAGGTGCTTGAAAGCAAAAGTGGGAAGTGGCCTCAGTGGGAAGTGACAGAGACAGGCCAGAGGTGGCTCCAAAGTCAGGAGCCCAGAAAGGAGCTGGGTGAATGTGAACATCTCCCCTCCCTCGTGGGGAAGGACGAGACAGTTAAGAGAACACAGGAAGAAAGAAACAGGGATCAGGATACGCCAGGTGACAAACAAGACAATGGGTCCTCAGAAATATTCTGCAAGCTTTAATACTTCTTGAAATTATTGTTATCATCTGGAAAAATAATTACCACCACACGACAATGCTCTTAGGAGAAACCTGTCCTTGTCAAATTAGGTAAGAGACTGTTCAGGTAAGCTTCACCTTTGCTGCTGAATTCACAGCAGAGGGTAAAGAAAGACCATTCTAGAAGTTCAGATGCCACAAAGACTGCAGGACTGACTCGCTGTGACTCACAAAAAGTTCATTTAAAAGGAACGCGTGTTTTTGATGTTTATGCTTAGTCACACATTTTATAATAACGTTCTAACTGTGGTTTTATCGAAACGATCACCCAAGGACCTTCTAAAAGTAAATTCCTGTTGAAGAAGGTCAAGCTGTCTCTTTATAGAGCTGAATAAACCCCAGCATTTATATTTTATCTGTTTAATTAAAAAAAAAAGTTCAGCACATCTCTGCACTGTGCTTGTTATATCAAGTGACAGACTCGGCCGAGCAAAGCAGCCAAATCTCTGATGGTCCCAGCAGGCCAGAAACATATCATCCGGCAGGAAGTATCCTGTAGGTCTCTCCTTAAATATCCATTATAAGCTTCAGATTTCTTTCCCGATCTACCACCATGGACAATGAGAGAAAGAAATCAGCCTTGGGTGACAGTTTCCCAAGAGGATAACTGTCAAGTGTCTAACCTGTATGACACTTGAGTCTGAGCGGGTAGGCCATGAAGCTTGGGCCACAGGCCTCCCCCCGCTGCCTGCGTGCAGCTTCTGTGAGGGAGGTGGGACCCACCCGTGGACATTAGAATGGGTTGTGGGAGGCAGTGCAAATAATAAACCCATCTGTCAAGCAAGTCCTCCCACAGAGAGTCAGGCAGCAGCCCAGGGCACATTTGGAGACTCAGTCTTTTGTCCTTAAGATTTGCAAATGTCAGAAATTTCTCAGAGCTCCAGCACCAGGTAAAGTCCAAAGGATCCCCTTGGGAGCTCTAGAATTCCCCAACACAGCTGCAAATCAAGCTGCTCTTGAGAAAAATGTCCTCTCTCCATCACCCGCACGTACTTGCTTATAATGCTCACGTGCTAACCTGCATGCGTGTGAATTATCCCTGCACCCAGGCCAATGGTGTCCACTTCCATTTGAGACAGGGATGTGATGCAACACAGTAACTGCCACCCTTCCATGCCTGGTCACTCTGTGGTCTAACCACAGAGGTCACAATTCTCCTCGTCCCTCCTCACTCTCTAGCACAGCACATTTGCATGAGTGCTCCCACCCCAATTTGTTCATTTAGCAATAATAATTTGGCTTTGTGCAATTGCAGTGAATCCTGGTGTGAGTCTCAGGTGGCAGTAACAGGTGCTCCCTTGTCATTAGTAACCCTCGACCCACCTGTTCAGCATGATCCCACCTAGGTGAGCCATGCTGTGACCTCTGGCACCTGTGCAGTCAACCAAAAGTAACTGGTGCCTCTCTTTGTTGTGGTCCCACCACCTCCCCCCATTCAGCATAAGGTTCTCTTGAACTTCCACCTCTCACATTTCATAACTGCTGCAGAGTGTAGCAGGATTTGAGAACTGGGTCCTTTGAACTCATGGAGCACCACTGTTGTCCCCATTCATCCATCTCATGCTGCCCACTCCTTCTCCCCAAACACACCATTTTACAAACTAAAATCATAAAAAAGATATGTGTTCCAAATGGTGATTTTTGTTATCATGTTATATTCTAGTGGGTGAAGGAGCAACAAATAAACACGTATGATGGCAAAGTCTCATCGGTTGCACAAAGAAACAAAAAGGAAAGATAAACATGGTGAAAGGGAGTAGAACACACCACCCCACAAAGGCCACCCTGGCAGCAGGTGAAAAAAATAGCACTGTTCTTCCCTTATTTGCCTAGAAATAGGACATAAATTTGTAGAGACAGCCCCACTGCCCTGTCTACAGGGAAGGATGGAGGTGAATCACCAGATAGCCCTGGGCCCCCTGCAGCACCAAGAACCAGCACAGGAATTGACTCGCTGCAACTAGCTCTATCTATCCATGGATTTCCACGTGTACTTGCCTCCTCATTTTGCTACCCCTAGAAACCCAAAATTCTTTTCCTAGGCTTTGTCACTTCTGTCTGGATTGCTTGTGCTTTGTTAAGATGCGATATAAGCCCAAGTTCTAACCACTTCTTTGAGTTACTCATCACCGAGTTTCCCTGTGTATGTGGATTATGTGTATCAATCACCTGCTTCTCTCCTGTTCGTCTGCCTGTTGTCTGCAGGGCCCTAGTCAGAGAACACAGGAGGGCAGAGCAAAAAGTGTGTTTTCCTCCAGAGTGAAAAATACAGCAATCCACACCCAAGGGGGACAGAATTATCAGTAAGTGGTGTTTCAGTGTCTGGGTAGCTATACAGGAAAAGAAAATCAAACTGGGTTTCTGTCTTACGCCTTATATATAAATAAATCCTAAATGGATTGCAAACTTAATTTCATCGTAATGAAACCATAAGTTCTTTTTACAAAGAAAAACAAAATACTGACACACTTAGGAGGATAAAAATAAAACTTTATGCAGAAGAAAAATGGTAACATTTCATAGTCAGAAAGATAATTAATATAACCCAATAAGGAAAATATCAAAAGCCCAATGTACAAATGATAAAGAATTCACAGAAAAAGAAATACAAGCAACTCTTGGACACATGAAAAGATTCTCAGCTTTACTCAAAATAAGATGACAAATTAAAGCTTGTGCTAAGGGGCACCTGGGTGGTTCAGCTGTTGAGGGTCTGCCTTTGACTCAGGTCATGATCCCGGGGTCCTAGGATCAAGTCCCACATCAGTCTCCCTGCAGGGAGCCTGCTTCTCCCTCTTCCTGTGTCTCTGCCCCTCTCTCTGTGTCTCTCATGAATAAATAAATAAACACTTTTAAAAAAATAAAAACTGTGCTAAAATGCCACCTCACAGCCAAAGGTCAGACAGAGATTGATGAGACATCATAAAAAACCCCTCCATGTGGCAAGAAGCAGAGTGGCACAGCCTCTGTGGGGCAGACTGATGACATCAAGCAGGATGGGACATGCTCAGATCCTTTGGTCCAACAGATCCTCTTCCAGGTACACACTCTCTAGCATGCTGGGACATGGGCCACGGACATGTGTACACCACCACTCACGCAACCAGGTTTTTAATAGGGTGGGAAACAGCAGTTATCATAAGAGCCAGCTCAATAAGTGATGGCAACTCCTCAAGGTGGACGGCCAACATGGTGCTGGTGCTGGTGCCCGCTGTGCCCTCACTCCATTTCCTCCAAGCTCCTACTCCTATGAGCTGCCCCCGCAGATTCTCCCACACCCGCCATGGCCCCAAATGTGGTGGGCAACCTGCTTACATGCATCTGCCCTCAGCAGACCCCTCTCTCCCTTGCCACACTCCCTTTCCTCAACTCTTGACCCCACACTGCTCTGATGTTCTCTTCACCCTGGTACTCTTTGCCAGTTTCTTGCCTTCTCTGTGACTTGGCCACAGGGCTCCATCCTGCCTACCTCCTCTCTGTCCTCTGTGCTACTTGGATGAGTGGATGAGCAGGGGACAATCCAAGAATCAGCTCACTGCCCCCAACTCCTGTCTCAGTGCACATAGGGGTCCCAGTACTCCCTGGCCCTGGATGAAGCCCCAGACACACTCTGTCTCTAATCCACCCACTTTCACACAAGAAAGTGTCCCCAGGCACTTGCAAGTCACTCCATTTTCCTATTTCCAGTAATAAAGATGTGCATCTCAGGTAACAGTTAACACCCTGAACACCACGGAAAAGTAGAGCCGTCCTCCCCTATTTAGAGCTGCCTGGGATGGAGACTCCAGGAAGGACGGCAGGTGCCTTAGGCTGCAGCTTCTGACACCTTGGCCTGTGGGGACATGGGGACGTGGAGACACAAGTAGAGAGGAAGTTGGGCTCACACAGCAATCCTACCAGCCCTGGAGCTGGGGCCCCTGCCAGGGCCAAGGGTTGCAT